TGAAAGGTCCTATAAGTATGTTGTTTTTTTAAAAAGTAAGATATTTTTCAATTTTGATTTTTTTTCTAAAGCAGTGTTTTTCTAGTGTCTTTTCTTTTTGCATGTTTCCTTTCTATCATGCAAAGTAATATTGATTTTAAGATTAAAAATACTTTTATGCATTAGAAAATTTTTAAATTTCACATGCGAAATCTTTATAATGTCGAGATAGTTATCAAACATTTAAGAAAAAACTTTATATTTTATCTGTTATTTTCAGTAATTAATCTCTGTACAAGTAAATTTAACTGATCTCGCAACCACAATAAAAAATGAAGAAATAAATATAAATTATGCCTCTTTCATTCTAGAATTAACACATTATAACACAAAAACATAAATGTTTAGACTAAATAGCTTAAATCTCATAACATTATATATTTATTTTGATTATATTGACATTTCAGCCGTGCATGGCTAAGAATACAGAAGTTACAATGATACAGCACACATGCTCTCATGTCACCGTATCCAATTGTATAAAACTGACCTTTGGTCTGTTCAAAGTAACTTGTCTTAGCTGTGTTTTAGTAGACTAGTATTTTGTAAAATACAGTCAAATTTCAATTATTATACATTATATATGTATATAGATTATTGCTATTTTGAAATAAGCTCTTAAACTTATTTTTCTTAAAACATAAAACAGTAAATAAAGAAGTAAAGCAAACAATTATCTCTTCTAGTTACAACCTTTGTATTCGATTGCTGCTTGATGTAGGTTGCTAAGCCTTTAAAAAATTTCACGAGGAGGATATGAAACAAAATATATTTTTTAGATTTTATATACACACATTTGAAAAACTAAAAAATCATAAAAATGGCTAACAAAGCCACTAGGGGGACATTCTGACCTTCCAATTGGTTATTCATATCATATATATATAAGTAAATGTATATGAGGGAACATTTCCAAAAATGGAAAGAGGTTGACAGGGTGCCACTGTGTTTGATTTATTATATGAGCAATATCTTAGCAAACTGAATAGATAAGAGGCTCTTATTTTTTATTCTAGCTTTTTAATATTGGTAATTTGAGTCTGTAATTCGTCCGGAACTATAGACTTAGCATTTTGACTTCACAAACATCTAATTTGAACCAGTGCTGCATTCAACATACCACGCGACGCACAAAAATTGATGTTTATCCGTGTTTTTTAAAATTCGCTTTTAAATTAAGAAATTGAGTAATATATAGTATTAAAAATTGAATTATAATCTACAGTTTGATACCAAAGTTATTGACATAAATTCATGAAACAGTAGCTTAAAAAATTTTGAATTGGAGTCAACGAGATGACATGGCCTTTCATCCGTGACCCGTCTAAAAAGGGTTAAATAAATTTATTTAAAAGGAAATTTTATAACACTAGGATAAATGAAAAACCAGTATCACTTTACCATAATATTTATTTCAAAATATTATTTTTCTCATCTCAGAATGATGTTGTTATAACAAAGCGGACCAGATGACGTGCATGCCTTCTGAATAATAGCCAATGTTTAATTGTCGATAGATAATGTAATAATTATTTTTTCTAATACACATTAAAATAAATATATAACTATTAAAATAAAAAAGTCGTTCACGTACCTCCTAAAATCATCTCGTGTACCACCAGAGTTACGCATACCACATTTTGGGAAACACTGATCTAGAGTATAAAAACAAAACATAAATTGTGGTCATAGCTACTTAAAGCTTCTATATATATATACATGACAAATCTATGCAATGAGAGGATCTAGAAAGAGAACATCCTTTGGATTGGCTAATTCTGTTACTATAATTCATATTAAATTGTTAAAAATGATTTAGAAGTATAATAAAATGGCTTATATTGGAGGGAACATACTATATGTTTTGAGACAACATTGGATACCTGAAGAAGACAGGTCAAAATATATGTTTCCCAAAAATAAACTGCTTATAAATCAGTTAGTATTACATCATTAAACAAAATATATTTTTTTAAGTTGAATGTATACCGTTGCAAATTTAATTTTTGAATTATTAACATTATTTGTTTTTTGTTGTTGTTGTTTTGTTGATAGTCAATTTTCATTTGCAAATTCTTTTTTAATATGTTAGGTTACTATCTTCTAGCAGTTATTTATACATGTATAAACACAGATTTTTGCTTCTTTTATTTGGTGTAATGTACATTTTAATTGTTTCCAGTGTTTGGAAGATGAAGGAGTGGATCCAGACTCTCATTTATTTGAAGTAACAGCAGAAGGAACACCGGCAAAGAAGACACCTGTTTCAAAAAGAACTTCAAGTAAGTTTTAACTGTTATGTAAATGGGAAGAGTAGTAAATTCCTTAAATCAAAAACAAAACTTTTAAGAAAAAATGTTTTGAGAAATTTGATGTTTGATCAATAATTCTTACAACTACAGTGCCTAAAATGGTGCATCCTGCCCTGAGGCCAAATTACACCATTGAATAAAAGAAATTATAAAACAAACTTGTAGACATTCTTCCATACATTTAAAAATATAAGTTTAGAGCTTAAAGTTGTTTAATTTTGTTTATTGTTAGATTTCAAATTTTTATTTTGGGTTTATTCCACCAAGCTCTGAGCAAAAACATCGGTGTGTGTGTGTGAATTTCCTGAACATTTTCTAAGCATAATGCAGCATTCATAGCACCCTAGAAAGAAAATTAAAATAGGGCTAATTCAAATGTTTTAAATTCATTGCAAGTGTAGTTTTATTGATTTTAGCTAATCATTTTTTGTCAACCTTGGTTGTTAAGATGTGATTGTATATGCTAGTAATATAAACATGTAATGAAAGCTGTTTATTTTCAAAAGTATAAGCCAGTGTGGCTTCCAGTGCAACTAAGATTCTCATAGGGGTTGGCACAAATCGGAAAAAGCTTACCTCAGTGACATGTTGCTAGTATAAATGTTGTTTGTGAACATCATTTGTGACAGTTACAGTCCTAATTGTTTTAATGATTGCAAAAAAATCATACTGTATCATTTTATAATTCATTTGAATTTGCAGTATGATAGGAAATAGTTTTCATGGAACAAGATGAGGTAGGCTTAGTTAATTCTTGCACTCGCCCATATCAAGTTTCATTTCATCAGAAAGGCTACTATTTATGTTAGGCCTTGTTGGCCAAAGTAACTTTTGAATGGACAAAGAAAATTGCTGAAAAGAAATGATTAGGCCTAACATGAACAGAAAAAGTGTATAATAGTATTTCAAACACACTTGCAGACATAGTCTGACTGAAATACTATTATACGTTCTTCTTCTTGAAAAAAAGGACAAAAAAAACCAAGAATATAGAATGTAATTTTAAAAATTAATAGACATAATGGTAATGTAGTATAACAAGTGTAATTACAGAAATGATAAAATAACATAAAGTTATCCTATCCACTAAATCAAACACTAAAAAAATTCAAAGCTAGCCCTTATCATTCAAATATTTATGAAGCTTTCTCTTAACCCTTTACCATATGGGTAGGGATCAGAACGCAACCCATGCATGTTATCAAATTTTATAGACTTACTTTCAAAATATTATTGAACTTTTATAAATGTGTGTCCTTAAGTTTGGAATCAAATTGTAGTTTCTAACTCAAGTTTTAATATTGTACATTGTTTAATATTTTAGTTCAAAAGTAAATATAAAAATATTAAGTATCAATTTTTTTTGTATTGCTTGGTACATTATCTTCTGTATTTACTCGTATTGTATTGTGGGCATCATGAAATGTAAAGTCTACAGTTTTTAACCAATTAGAAACTCAAATTACCAATATTAAGAAGTTAGAGTATAAAATAAGAATCTCCTACCATTTCTATATGCTGAGACATATTTAGCAAACTCACCACAGCGGCTCTGCCCACCTCTTCCTCTTTTGAAAATATGTTTATCTATGCCCACTTCTCTGAAGCACATGTTTATAACCAATCGAGAGTCCATATTTCAAACTACATAATCCTGTCAGTCTTCCTAAAGTAATTTTGTGGATAAAGTAGTTATAATTGTTGGAGAGTTTGAACAGTAGTGATCAAGGCAGTATTCTGATCAGATACAAGATTTTTTAGACCCAAATACAACTTAGTTAGGAAGCCTGATAAATTGCAGTGGAATTTTGTTGTATTGGTATAGTGATTTAAAATTTTTTTCAAAATGCTTGTATAAAACCTACAGAAATATTTTTCACATCCTACATGTGCAAAATTCAAGGAAACTTAACAACTATGATGCAAAGTACAAAAAAATAACTTCATAACATCGTAAGTAGTAGAGATCATTGTTTTCTATATTTATTCTATTTACTGTTTTATGTTTTAAGAAAAATAACTGAGATTTAAGAATTAGTTGTAAATATATACACACACACATGTATGGCAATCAGTGTCTGTATTTTACAAGATACTGGTATGCTAGTACTAAGACAAAAAAGGGTAAGACACTTGTACTTTGTAAAGGCCAGTTTTATGCTCTGTGATACAGCAACATGAGCTTTAAATCACATTTCTCTTAACATGAAGTAACTGGATCTTATAAAGGTTTACCAAGCTGATTAGAATAAAAAAAAATACTTTTTCCTCAGAAGCTTCTGGTTTTGTTTGATTACAAAAAAGTTACAATTACATTAAAAAAAAACATTAAAAAGTTGTAACTTAATTATGATTTTTGTTTTTGAAGAAAAAGCCACTTATAGAGGGTTTATCGTAATTTTTTCTGTCACTTTCTGGTAATGTTTGAGTGATGGTACTAGAGATCCATGATTTCTAATTTGTTTCATGTAACATCTTACACGAATATGGTTGCATTATCTCCCGACGTATAATGTTGAGAATCATATATCCCCATTTGACACCATATTTTCTACAAATGCTGACTCCTGCTCATTTCTTGCCTCTCCTTAAAGTACTCTCTCTCTCCATGTAAAGTTAATTTTATTTTAAAATCATTAGAAGTTCTTTTGAATATCTTGTGTAAAATGTAGTTGAGATCTAGAATCATGGGAACAGGCAGATTGTAAACTGAACTTGTGCAAAAAAAAGGTAGGAAGGCTTATAATGGAGGAGTAATCTTGTATATTGATACTAAACCTGAGACTAATCTAATGGCATGACAAGGTGACCACCAGAAAGTTGCAGAGAATAGGCTTAATGTGACATTAGAACTTATATTTGAATTTCTTTCACAGAGAGATCCTCTAATGAATCTGAAACACAGGGTACAGTTGATGGACAAGATGAAGATGATGATGAAAAGGGAGATTCAGATGATGAAAAGGTACTTTTTGATATTTTTATTATCTAACTAGCATATAGCCTGTCAAAAATGACAGGGCAAGTACTACCACCCCCACCCCATAGTATACCCCAATGTTTCATTTCATAGCTAACTGAAATAAATAAATTTTGCGAAATCAAGCTTGATCAACAAAAGAGAAGAAACTTGCAGTTGAGGCAGGTCGGTAAATTCCTTCTAGAGCCAATCAAGATCATTCATGAAGTGAATTTGTTGTGTATTCACAGAATTATTATTGGAAAAAAATATGTTAGATTAATAACTTCTGATATATAGAAAAGCCAGTGCATTTTGGTAACACTATGTTCGAACAATGGCTTTTATTTCATGTTGCTTGGAAACAAAGGTATAATCTAATATTGTTGTTAGTCTATGTACTGTAAGTATAAAATGAAATGTATAGACAACAAAACTGGAAAAATATTTGTTGAAACCTCCAACAGCTTTTTTTTTAACCTAGCTGATCTCGCATCTTTATTGCTTTAAAATTTTCCCATTTTGTCCAGAATAAGTAAATGAAGATTCCTTTTGGTTTTTACTGTATGTGTCTTAATAAAGTATATCAGAAGCTGATTAAATAATTGTGACATTGCAGAGAATTTAGATTTAATGCAGGATAGCTTAGTTTAGAAAAATAACTAATTTTATACTACTTCATCTTGAAAATTTGAATGGTTGAAAATTAATATTTTCAAATATTTTACTTGTCTGTATACAGTTTTCACCATTTTCTTGCTCTCTTTAATTTATGTGCAAACTGCAAAGATGTGAATGTCATGGTTGATTTTACTGACAGGAGGTAGTTATTTTCATGTAATTGTAGTACGTTTTGTAAGTAGTTCATTTCTGTTTATCACAGATATCTTCTGAAGCTCTTGACATTGTGGAAGAAACCCTACAGTTATCTGTGGTGGATGAAGACAAGTTTGAGGTTTGTACACGTGGTTATACACATTACTCCCAACAGAACAGAATTAACTTTGAATACTGAACTTGACTTTGCAATAGTGAAGGATGTTTAGTTGTTTAGATGCTCACTTTTGGGTTCATCACACACAATTGTAGTGGTGTCATGGGGGGTTTTCCAAGCCCCAAATGTGGACATTATGATGATTCATTTTACCCGAGGTAGGAAATGTAGTCTCATCGCTAAAAAGTACACAAATATTGAAATGAGATGTCGTTATTTATTCTGTCAAGAAGGTTCACTGCAGTTGTCTTGTGCTCTTGTCTGTCATCTGGTTGCAGTGCGTGTACCAACTGAAGTTTTTAATTATACTGCACCACAGTCATCACTGACTTGGTCTCTGCAAGCCAAATGATGCATTGAGCTTTTTTGTGTGCACAGTTGCCATTTTATGGGATAGCACTATTTTCTTGGATGATAAAAACAAAACTATAAATACTGTTTGAGTTGAGCTACAAGATGTTGGAAACTGCATAGTTGTACTTCCTTAGTTATTTAATTATTAAATTTTAAAAATAGGAATGATAATTTTGGACTGTGCTTTTAATCACTGAGCAAGTGATTGATAGTTTTAAAAAGTTCTTTTTTGAAATGTTTTGTTGAGATGGTCATTAAGAATGGTAAAACACCAACCAAGAAATGCATGATGGCTACGAAAGGATATATTTTGGTTATTTTCTCCATTGCCAATGTATTCTATTGACCTTGAACCCTTTCTTCTAGATCCAAAACTAGTGCTTGGTAGGTTACTTTGATGGATTTCACAGCTTCTTCAAGATTAAGTGACCCATTAGCTATTGGTTGCTGTAAATACACACAGCCTGAAAGGGCATTGTATCATACCCACTTGGTGATTTCTGTAGCTTTTATATTTGTTTATATTGTTCCATACATTTTACACCCTGTGTTGCATCATTTGTTACCAGGACAACCTGATGAACAATGCAATAAATGTGTACAAGAACACCATTATGTTCTTTGAGTTTGACCCCACACAACAGTCTTTACATACCTATCATCTGATCCAAATACAATAAGTTTATTAAACAGGTTATCTTACTTCTGCAGAATATTCTCAGGTTTCAAATATTGCTACTGCTGTGCACATGTAATACTGCAATTTCTTAAGAGAAATATTGAAACGGCTTAACTTGAATCGCTAAATTTAAAAGTTTCGTTAACAGAGTACAGTTAAATGTTTCATCAAGAATGAATCCAGTGGGCATAGCAGTGAATTTTGGTTTTCATCCCTTCTTTTTTTCCATTTCTACATTGTTTTATGACCTTATGAATTTTTATCCCTTTAATTGATCTAAAATTGCACAGCACTTGGCTTAAGGTTATTGAAATATAATTGTTTGGGCATATGTATTTGAAAGATAGATAGAAACAAAAAAAAGTTTTTTTTGGTAGTTCAAGTGGTATTAGTTAAATTTGTTTATCTAAAGTTGTTTGTATTATATAGGGGCTTTGATTCCAAATAATTATAAGGTAGTTTTATTGATCTTGTATTTTCAGGACATGGGTGACATGTTTTAAAACTTAAAAGGTTCTTTGATAAATTTGTGAGTGTTTTCAACACCTCCTGAACTGCAGAGTTAAATTTGATATTGACCTATTTTATTAGATCTAATAACTAACATCAATTACAGATATTTATGAAGTAAATTTATACGTAATGCTTTGTGTTTTCAAAAAGTTATATAACATATTCCTCGTTTACCTTTGCATAAGAAACAACAAAATCTTCACCTGTATGGACTGTTGTTTATGTTTACTTTGAATATTCTGTAGTATTCAGAAGGACTTACTTAAATTAATGGGAGTTTTTATTTCATTGGAACCAGATTTCTGCTATTATATTTCTCTCAAATTTGTTTTGTGCATAAATTATTACAGATTCATTATCGTAAATATGATGCTAGAAAATTACACAAAATTGTCTGTAAATTTTCTATTTTTTCCAATGAAATAACTTTTGTTCACTAAGAAAACCTAGGCTCTGTATTAAGGTATTAAAATTTAATGTATTTTGGTGTTATAAAGAAAGCTTCAAACATATTTTGAAATATATATATATACTATGTTTCTTGTCGAAACGTTGTACATTTGCTGTTATGTTAAACTTATATTAAAGTTTTTCTTCATTACCCATTCAAGTCATCTCCAGCCATTATTAGTCTCAAAGTGGGTTCCTCATCATCAAATGTAACTAGTGTTATAAACAAAGTTTCAAATATATCATGAAGTATATAAACCTTTCTGGATTGAGATTATTGTTATTAACATGTAACTAGTGTTATAAACAAAGTTTCAAATATATCATGAAGTATATAAACCTTTCTGGATTGAGATTATTGTTATTAACATGTAACTAGTGTTATAAACAAAGTTTCAAATATATCATGAAGTATATAAACCTTTCTTGATTGAGATTATTATTATTAACATGTAACTAGTGTTATGAACAAAGCTTCAAATATATCATGAAGTATACATACCCATCTTTCTTGATTGAGATTAATGTTATTAACAAGTAACTAGTGTTATGAAACGTTTTGTATCAGAATCAGTTGTTCTTTAATAATGTTTTTATTTTTGCATTATTGTTATTTTTATATAATTTCTATTTTTAAAAACTAGCTACTTGAACTAATCAAGAGTTATAATTGGTCACTCCTTTGGGCATTTTATTTTCAAGATCCTTTTTCTGGTAGAAATTTTAAAATGTAAAAAACAATTTACTTTACAACATTTAATGATAAAAATCATGGTTTGAGGATTTTAATACGTGCATCTTTTCTATAGGATGAAAACCAAGAAGATAAGACAAAGGGTGAGTGATAATAAAGACTTAGATAAATAAATGTATAGGTTATGAAATAAGAATTGGAATGTTGCATTATTATTATTATTATGAATATTTAATAGCTAAGACATCCAATAATTCAATGAAGTTATTGGTATACCATATGGCATTTGTAACTTACAGTACTTGTGAAAGACAGTGTGCTTAATCTTAAACTTTGTGTGCTCATTTTTTTGATATTCCATACCTCTTGAACCAGAGCAAACTGGTGACCATATTTTTAATTATTATTTCAAGTTAAAAGGGCCATCATTAAACTTGTTTCAAATAAAATTGTATTTTAAGTTTTCATTTAAGAACATTTTAACGTTTAAATTAGTCCACAATGAAAATTCCTTATGTAGTATTGTAAATACAAAGAGCACAAAACTGTGTGTATAGCATCATGGGATGGGCGGCATTGGATTGACAGCTTTGTCCACAAAATATAAAAAGATGCTTCGACTAGAACAAAAAATCTGGGACTATGTTTATTGAAGACGGAAAGGTATATGCTAATATGCAATGAGTGACTATGTGAAAATAAGAATTTATCAGAGCTCTGATTTGTAAAGAACAGAATTTAGAAACTGAGGATGTTTCTTAGGAACAAACTACTATGCATAATGACAATGTATAACAAGAATTTTACACGTGAAGATGTTCGACTTTTCTGAAGAGTCATTTGTCAGAGTGAATTTTGACCTTTGTAGATCTGTTTATTTGATTTGAATATTTTGATACAGCTTTGTAAAAAAAAAAAAAATTGAGCAGATGATGTTTTTTGTTGATTTACATGAAAAAAGGATTGTCTAAATTAATGGGAGGGACTTGCCTAATAGGTATAAAAGTCAAAATGTTTGTGCCAAATGTGAAAGAAGTGAAAAAAGTTTAACAATTTCCATGCATAAGATCAGCTGATACATAAATACATTTGCTAGTGCCCCAATCAACACAGATTGCTGTTTTGTTTTAAATTATTTTGGAAGTTGTCAGAAATGTTGAGGTTATCACCATCAACAAATATATGATGGCAACCAAAGAAGTTTTGGTTTTGAGCTCCATTTTGATTGCTTCAAAAAAGCATAATGTGTGTGTGTGATCAAACCAGGACAAAGAATTGTACAAGTTTTGATGTAGTATTTGAAAACTATGGGCTAGAATACCACTTTTATTGTGGGAAAACAAAGCAAAACTAAAGTGTTGTTTGAGCTGAAGCTATGTGAAATATTATAAATATTTATAGGAAAAAAGCATTATGGAACATTTACCTTACAAATTTTACTTGCCAAGGCTTTGGTGAAAAATATACTGAGTATTTTAATATTACTCTTTTTTTTACTTTGGAAACAGTATAGAAACAACTTTGGGGGAAAAAAAATTGGATATTTTGGCTTTCCAGGCACAATAAACTGTAGGAAGATTGTTCAGTAATTTATAAATATGTCAAAGAAATGTTCTTGTGCTGTTAAGAAATGCTGAGAAAGAACTAGTGTTGGAAAAAGGCCAGTCAAGATTCTTACAATCTTTCACGAACTTAATTTTCTGAATTTACAAGATTATTAAGCTTTAAGTAAAAAAACAAAAAAAAAAAAAAAAAAAAAAAAAAAA